TATATATATATGTTCCATCAGTGAGTCAGTTGGATCATGTGATCGAGGCCTCTGGTCTGTTTCATATTTTAAATTCAGAGGTGACTGAGTGTTTATGATTTCTGTCTGTGCCTCATCAGTGTGTTTTGTTTTGAGTGTGTGTGTGTGTGTGTGTGTGTACTTGAATTTTTTATGTGTGTTTCCTACCCCCTTACCTCGTTTCCTTCCTTCCCTCCTCCTGCTGTCAGGTGTAACACTCTGCTCTCAGTCTGAGGACACACAGCGTCATCTCTTGCAAACTGTGTGTGAGAGTGAAGCAGCTGACAGATAAACTGCTGGTGACATCATCACCACCTCACACACTGACCCACATACATCCCATAATATACATCTCATAGTATGCATCCCATAATATATCCCATCACACATTACATCACATAAAACTCTGTATCTTTATGATGCATGTGTTTCCTCTCAGAGACACACCTCTCTGTAGTCAGCTGATTGATTCTGCAGCGGTGGCGGTGATGTCGTGAGTTTACAGCTGTAAACAGTGAGGCTTTCCTTGTGTCGTGTTTCTGTTGGTGATCTCACAGCTGAGTCCGTGTCCTCATGAAGACCCTTGTCTGTCTCTGTGTCCTCTGTCCACTAGATGTCCACTCTGGAGCAGGAGGGGGAGGAGGTGGTGGGACAGGCTCGATGTCCCTTCGAGTCTCGCCAGTCCAACGTCGGCCTCTTCGCAGGTGAGTCAGGAGCAGACGGAGCCAGCGGCCGTACACACTGTCCTGTCACTGACATGTCACAGGTTCGACTCCCACAGCTGCTCCTCTGGGTCATTAGGGTCACAGGGAAGTGACCTGGTGTGTTCAGGGGTCACAGTCACTGATGACGTCTTTAAGGTTTTTTAAAAGTCTCTGAGGGAGCTTGTTTTTCAGAGACCAAACGGGTTTAAGCTGCTTCAATAAAAACATAGTAAACGTCACATTTTTACTGAACATCTGAAACTTCACTCTCAAATAATTATTGAAGTACTGGGGAGAGATGTATGTGTTTTTAATTTGGCTGTTGGGAGGAGCATGCAGATTTAAATGTATGCTGTATTTTGTATTTGTTTTACTGCTGATTTTTAAAGTGCCGGTGGTTTGGAGACTTCTTTTTTTTTTCTTTTCTTTTTACTTCTTCTTTAAAAATGTCAAAATGAGACAATTTATCAGCCAGAAACTGTAGAAACAGAAATTATCACTGGATAATATGTGACAATCTTTGGACACATCGAGTGCAACGAAACTTTTGTCAGAAAAGAAAATAAACACAAATCTGATTTTGATAAAGTAAAATTTCATCAAAATCACTTTATTCAACGTCTCGTTTAAAATATGTGTCCTCACAGTGGCAGTGTGACTCACCAGAGGATCCACGACACAATATCATCACCATACACAAGTCATTCAGTGTCACATATGTGATACAGTGTTATTGCCATACTAAACACATACAATACGCTGAGTGTTGTGATAAAATATATTGTGATTTATTACCTGTTCTCAGCTGTAAATTTAGTCTCCAAAGGAAACTCTGTTTTTAGTCTGTTCATGTCACTTCAGTCTTTAATGTTGCAGCAGCAGCAGCATGTTTCTGTGAAACTGAATAAGCAGCAGATTATCTCTCTAATAGGCTCCAAGAAGTTTAATTTGTATTTGTTATATTAATTAATTAATTTATGTAATAAAACGATAATACTTGGCATCTGTGTGACGGTACAATGTTGGCACACAAAAATATTGTGACGAATATGGACTCTGATGTGCGGTCAGGTGTTGTGATGATGATGGAGAAGGAAGATGATACTCTGTGAACATGTCTGAGCAAGTTGGGGGGGGCTGGGAGTTGTTATTGAAAGTGACACCTGTGATCCTGCACCTGTCCTCACAGGCTGATCAAAGTGACCAGAGGAGACGCCTGAAAGAGGAACTGTGATGCCTGACAATGTCTTTATCTCTCAGGTGGAGATTTCTACTCAGCCACCATGACCGACTTCCTGGCAAGCGACGCAGTGATTTACAGGAGTCTGGGAGAAAGTAGCCCCGTGCTGCGGACCGTCAAGTACGACTCCAAGTGGCTGCGAGGTGAGCGTCCAGCAGGCTCAAGAAGGGCCGCTCGGATATTTAAAGAATCACAAACACTGTTAGAAACACTGCTGTGAGTCCTGACAGACTTTCTGATAACGTCAGAGGCTGCAGAGATCAGACAGGACTCAGACTGAGTGGACTCAGACTGAGTCCACTCAGTCTGAGTCCACTCAGTCTGAGTCTGTAACCTGCAGTTGAAATCAGGAGTTGAGTGTCTGTGTCAGCGAGCGCTGATCCAGGAGCAGCTCTGCTCTTTGAACACCATGATCGCTCTGATTGGACGTTGGCTGCTCCTCACGCTTCTGGTTATTCGTCTCTCCTGGACCTGCTCACAGGCCGCTCATCCTGTTTGTCACACATCTCTTCTTCCTGTTTCCCACAGAGCCCCACTTCCTCCACGCCATCGAGTACGGGAACTATGTGTACTTCTTCTTCAGTGAGATCGCGGTGGAGTACACCACTCTGGGCAAGGTGAGGAAATCAGACACTCGTCTGCCTCCTGGTTTCTGACCTCATGCTTGTGTAATAATCCACGCTCGCTCCGCCCCCTCAGGTGGTTTTCTCCAGAGTTGCACGTGTTTGTAAGAATGACAACGGCGGCTCGCCAAGGGTGCTGGAACGTTACTGGACGTCGTTCCTCAAAGCGCGGCTGAACTGCTCCGTGCCGGGCGACTCCTTCTTCTACTTCGATGTTTTACAGTCGCTGACGAACGTGCTGCAGATCAACCACCGGCCGGCCGTGCTCGGTGTCTTCACCACGCAGGCCAACAGGTTGGTGTCAGTGTCTCCTCCCAGTCAGGGCTGCAGGGCGCCGCCCACGTTTCAACCAGGAACAGGAGCTCATTTATAAACACCTCATACGCACCAAACGAGGCCTGAAAGAGGCGCACGCCGCTTCACACACTAAAGTTGTGATGTATAAAAACAGACTTGATCTGAGGAACTGTGACCCACGCTTACCAACATTTGGAGACAGGAAACTAGCGACACAGCTCAGCGTCTGCGTCACTAGTTTCAGGAGGCAGAGCGGGTCGTCAACTGATCAGAAGGTCGGTGGTTCGATCCTCTGTTCCTCCTCCTCGCATGTCCAGTGTCTGTAGGTAAAATACTGAAGCCCAGATTGTTTCAGGTGGACACTGTTACTGTGTGTGTGTGTGTGTGTGTGTGAGAAAACCTTGTAAAGTGCTTTGTATAAATTGACTGTGTGTCAGTGGAGCAGCACAGTGACGTCCTGCACACAGACTCAAACTGAGGTAGCAGAGCGTCACAAACATGTAGAAGAAGAAAAGACAGGAAGTGGATCACCTCCATGTGTCAGCCCGTCTCCTCCTGCTGAGTCCTCCTTATTAAAAACACAAGGCTGTGTCAGAGTCGAACACGCCGCTCTTGTCTGGCTCTGTTTTAATGTCGGCCTCCTCTGTGTTTCCTCCGACAGCATCACGGGCTCTGCAGTGTGCGCCTTCTACATGGACGACATTGAGAAGGCCTTCAGTGGGAAATTCAAAGAGCAGAGGAACAGTGAGACGGCGTGGACACCTGTTCCTGAGGATCAGGTCCCCAAACCAAGGTAAGAAATGCCTTTAAATAACAAACTGTCAGCTTGTCTCTGCAGCTGCTGCTGGTGTTGTTCTGCCTCCAACAGAAACACACACCTGTGTCTCCTTCCTGCTCACAGCTGCTCGGGGGGGGGGGGGGGGGGGGGGGGGGGNGGGGGGGGGGGGGGGGGGGGGGGGGGTCATGGGTCTGTGCTGGCGATGGTCTTGGTCGGAGGAAACATGTTTTCGGATTGTCCAAATGTCCGTCTCTTGAAGACGATATCTCAAGATCACCTTGAGAGATTTTTTTCAGCACAAACGTCCACCTGGACTCAACACTGAAGACATTAGATGTTGTTGTGTGTCATGTGTGTGTGTGACCTCGCATAACATGACTGGTGGGCGGAGTCATACAACCAGGGGCGGTAACTGTTTGTTTCTGTGCTGCTGTTGTTCAGGCCGGGATGCTGCGCTGGCGAGGGCTCAGCCGCCGCCTACAAGTCATCCACCACCTTCCCCGATGAGACGCTGACCTTCATCAAGTCGTACCCGCTGATGGACGAGTCCGTCCCCTCGGTCAATGACAGACCCTACTTCACCCGCACCACCAGCAGGTACGACTCATCACAGCTCACCTGTTCTCTTTTATCAGCAGACCTTTAATGAGTCCACTGAGAGGACGCCAGCCCCGCCCATCGTCCCCCACAAACCTTCGCCGCTCAGACACACAATCAGTGACAGCTGTGATTAATGACTTCAACACTTGATCAAGTAAAAACACTGAAGCAACACAGAATGAAATTAATCAGCTCTCACACTCTTTATTTCTTTAATATAAAAGCTACAACTAACTTTAATTTTCTTTATCAATTATTTTCTTCATTAATAAATTATTATTTAACTTTACAAAGTCTCACAGTGTCTCAGAGTCCAAATGTGTCCTCACGTCCAAAACCCAAAAGAAGACATGAAGACCTGTCTGTCTGTCTGTCTGCAGCTGTATGACCAATATAGACAAACAGCACAGATAAAGGTCCAGTGGATGCAGAGGCTCTGATCACTGTAGAGTTTGAACAAATGAATTCCTGTTGATCATCCGATCAATTGATGGACTGATTGATTACTTCGTCTTATTTTCCTATATTTATTTCTGAGCTATAAAACTGAGACATGAATCAGCTTTAACAGGTCTGATGCTTCAGAATCACCAACCTGTTCCTCCAGATGTCACTGATGGAAACCAGTAAACCAGCTCCTGCACCATGACTCAGAAAAGCTCCTGTTCAGACGCCTCCTCTGGGAAAGTCTTCATTAAATACAATTAAAAACTCCACCATTAGTTTTACAGCAGAGTTTGTGCTGTCCGACTCTGTGCTGTGATGTTAGCGTGCAGCTTTATTGCCTGAGGTCTGGAACATGATGTCACCGCAGCGTTTCCTCACTGGACGAACTGACCTGCGGAATCTACTGATGTGAGTCGATGATATCAGTGAAAGTTGAATCGTTGATAAGTGACACAAACGATGAATGGACCTTGTTTAGCTCCTTTCTAGTCACACACTCACACACTGGTGGCCGAGGCGACCGTACAAGGTGCCACCTGCTGCTCAGTTTATAACACACTCACACACTGATGATGAGCCATTAGGAGCAGTTTGGGGTTCAGTATGCCCAAGGATGCTACAGCATGCAGACTGGAGGAGCCGGGGATCAAACTGCTGATCTTCTGATTAGTGGACAGAGAGGGACAGACAGAGAGAGGGACAGACAGAGAGAGGGACAGACAGACGGACGGTACCCAGCAGCCTCCTCCACGCCTCCTGAAGCAGAGCCGGGCTGACAGCCAGCCTCGCTGCAGCAGCTCCTCGCTGGGGAAACATTCGCCGCTTCACATCTGGCGGCAGAAACATCACATCTGCGCGGTGTCTCCCAGGAGAGGAGCCAGATAAATGAAATCTAACCAGGAGCACATCACGCAGTCATCACAGGGACGTGCTGCCAGGCAGGTCCATGTGGGTAAACACAGCGGCTTCCGAGGGACCATCTGGGAGGGACGGAGGGAGAAGTGAGGCCACACGAGCCGCCGCCGCCGCCGCTGCTGCTGTCCTTTACAGAAGAATGTAGAGTCAAAGAGCAGGTTTATCAGAGGAAGTTTGTTGAGATGGCGGGTCGGAAAGGAGAAACACAGGCAAAGAAAATGAATGAGTAAAGCTCAGCTCTCTGTCAACAGTCGGTGGACTCAAGGTGCCCTTCAGCTCAGCTCTTAATCCTCCTCCGCTCCAGTGGAGCCAGCAGGAGGCGGCTGTGGTGATACTGGGCAGCTCCCAGGTGTGACTGTGTGCCGCTGCATGAATATGAAGCAGGGCGGAGCTTCTTTCTCGTGCAGCCGCAGCGCCTCACAAACACTACCAGAGGACTGAAGGCTGTGGGCGGACGCAGAGATGGACGGATGAAGGGATTAGAGGATGTGGGCGACGGAGGAAGAGGACGGTGGGCTGGTAGATGAAGAGATTGATCGCAAGCTGAAGTTTTCTACAATGAGCTGAGTGTTCGCCCACATGTTGTTTTGTTTACCACAGGAAGTGGACTGTGACTCAGCTAACAACAATGTGAAGATGCTCAGCAGCACACGTCCTCTCATTACGACAGCTTGACCTCAGCAGATCTGCTCTGTGATTGGTTCACTGTACGTCAGCGTGTCTGTTTATAGCCCGTCTGTTTCTATTTCCTGTCTCTGATGCAGGTTCAAGTTGACCCAGATCGCCGTGGACACGTCTGCGGGGCCGTATAAGAACTACACCGTGGTGTTTCTGGGCTCAGATAACGGCCATGTGCTGAAGATCCTGGCGAGCACCGAGGGCGCCAACGCCTCCTTCAGCACGCAGCTCCTGGAGGATATCGACGTCTACAACCCCAACAAGTCAGACCGTCTCTCTGCTTCCTTCATGCTTGTGTCTCTGTCCTCTCCTCCTCTCATCTGTCCTGCCCACCCACTCTCTGCTCTGTTGTAACACTTTGCATCACCCTGTACAGCCGCAGGCGATGCTTTCTTCTTCTGTGTCTTCTTTTGTTTTGTGGCTGCACAGCTTGAAGAGTCTTTCTGCTCAGAGTTGATTCACAGCCGGCGCTCTGTATAATTTTCAGACAGCGCCGCTTGTCTGCTGTGCTGATTTCAAACAGGAACAAAGTGGAAGATGTCTGATGGTGACAGTTGGTGTTTCTGTGTGTTCTTAGATGTAACGTACGGGGCGAGGACAGGAGGGTGCTGGGTCTGGAGCTGGATCGGGATCATCACGCCTTGTTCGTGGCATTCTCCAGCTGTGTGATCCGTGTGCCGCTGAGCCGCTGCTCCGACTACAGCACCTGTAAGAAGTGAGTCACCTGTAGAGCCGAGCTCTACCTCAGCAGCTCAGCAGCTTAGATGATAAATCTGTGACGTGATTAGACGTGTGTGCGTGTGTGTGTGAATGAGGAAACAGCAGAGCGCCCCCTTCAGGCTGGGAGGGAGCTCATGATGAACAGACAGAGTGATGTGTGTGTGTGTCAGACTGAAGCTCTCAGTTTATCATCAGTCATGAACTTCTGCTGCTGACTCACCTTCACAGACAGTGTGAGGCCCGTACACATGCTGCATCTTTAACCGCCTGGAAAACACAAGGTCGGCCGCTGGGCGCTACTCTGTGACAACTTTGAAGAGCGCACAGGCAGGCTGCATCTGAGGTTGCTAAGCAACCATAACCAGCACCGTATCACAGCCCACTTCTCTGAAATCCTGAGAGCAGAGCTGATCTTCTTCTGGTCGTTGTTGTGTGTGCGTTGAGACTAATATATCGTCTGTGGGACAGATGTAAAACTAAATCAACTTCTCCTCCGTATTTATCACAGACTGATATTTACTGAGGGGAAGTTCATCTGTGGGCTGTGATTGGTTGGTCCTCGTCACATGACATGCAGCGCACTCTCAGGATGCAGCTGTTACACCCTGAAAAAGGCTTGTACATTGAGACGGTGTCATCTGGTGTTTGAGCGCCTGCTGCACGTCTATAATGAAAACAATGAATCTGAGGGTGCAGAGAACGCCACGTGTGTGCGACCTCAAGGTTCGTTCTTACACCTATGACCTTTAATGAATACCAACAGAGAAACACGACCTCACACTCACAGCTGAAGCTTCTCTCTTCACCGCACTGAAACAAACTATTCATACTTGTCAGATACAAAATCAAACTCACCAAACTGTCTTTGTTCATCTGGTGAGGTGTGTGGTTAGTTCACTGTTCAACACTCACCAGTTCTGCTTTGGTCAAAACAAACTCTGAATTCAGCCAGTTAAGACTCGGACACGTCAAGTCGATGGTCGACCGTCGGTCTCTTTAGCAGAAATGTTTCCTGATGGTTTGTGTTATTGTTCACTGGCGCACGGTAAATATGCTCTGATTGTGTTGTTCATGTGCTAACTGGCTAACTAGCATCAAGACGCTCTTCCTGTTTCCCTTTTTCAATGATGTATATAGACGACCGCCATCTGCTGCTGTGGAGACTCATTTTCTCTCAGCAGAACGGACGAGCTGTAGTCTCTGAGGTTTGTTTGTGTGCAACTGTTTGGCGGAGACATGGCGACGTGAGGCGATGCAGCAGTCGGCCTTCGTCACTGTTACTGTCACTCTCTAAAGTCTGTTTGGTGTGTCTGGACCTTAAGATGTGAAAATCTGTCCTGCGGTTTCTCGCTGATGTGGAGAGCTGTCTGTTTACAGTCCTGTAACGTTATCCCCACCTCGCACTAGGGCTGTCAAAATTGCTCAAAAATGACGTTCAAATATTCCTTCTAATAATTCATAGGTTCGAACCATTCGAATTTTTTTTTTTTTTTTTTTTTTTTGCATTATGTCCACAAGAGGGCAAACTAATACAAGGAAACATACTTGTATATGTATTAATACAAGGAAAACATAACTACCTGTAGGTATTTTTATTTCAACATAAACGTCTTTGAAAACATTTACATACCTACACATTAAAACACATAAAACAATTACCTATAACATTACGTTATAAACGACCACGGACCTCTCGCTCGCCCCCCCTCTCTGACCCGTCAGGCCACACCTCCCGCGGAAGCGCTGCGAATAGCCTCGAAGTGCCGAGAAGCGAAGCCAGTTTCCTTTCAGTGCCCATGTTAACCAATTGTGTCATCCACGCCGGCTGCGCCGCACTGCGCAGCTCCGTGGCCGGCTTGCGCCCTGCAGCGATCGTTTCACCGTCTGGTCTATTTTCTGCACGAGCTGCGAGCAAATGTGTCAAGCCGGGTGACGGAGACAACAGCTGGGAGCAGAACCGCTTGTCGACCAGCGTGGAGAAATGCACGTCTGATGTGAACGGAAGTGCTCCGGCTTGCTCGAGAATTTCGGTGCGCTACACTTGGCAGCACTTCTGCGGACGGTGTGGCCCTGGCGCAGTGCGTTCAGTGCAGCGGCCCAGGCCAACGCCCACTCGCCAAGAGGACAGCTGCCGTGGTGTGTTTTTTTTCTCCACAACTGAATATCAATTTTCACAATCGAAGGTCCTTTTTTTTTTTTTTTTTTTTCAAATTCAAATTTAAATTCAAATTTAGAATATTCGTTGACAGCCCTACCTCTCACAGTCACCATGTTTGTCAGCTCAGCTTCCTGTTCCACCTGTACAGACAGAGTGACCTCTGGTGGAGCTCCACACACAGTACAGCCTCACAACAACACCTGTGTGTGAGAAAGATTTATTTGACTTCTAAACATCCTGTCGTACTGTAACACCATGGCTCCGCCCACACCTCGTAGATTCATCATAATCATAATAATCATCAGTGACTGTGCCGAGCCACACGACTCAGCTCTGTTTCAGGAAGACTGAAGAATGAGACTGAATGGAGACAAACCCATCACATGATGGAGACATGTATTTGTGCTGGAACAAAAGAGCACACGCGTCCTGTGACATGTGATGGTCATGTGTTCATGTTGACCGGCCTGCAGACAGACCACCAAACTAGAGAAGCAAAAGTAAGAGGTAAATGTTTCTGAGACTCACAGAAACAGAAGTCAGAGATTATGTACGGCCTCTCTGTGCAGACTGAGACCACACTCGGTGCTGAGTGAGTTCAGGGTTTCTTCCTGGCTGTGTGACGGGAAGAAAACAGCGCCGACTCTGCCCGGTAACTCCAGTACGGAGGATCAGTTTGTCTGCAGCTACCAATTTCAGAAATGTGTCCGCTCCTGGTGTTGTTAGAGGTTTCTGGAACAGAGAGTAGAGGTTGTGCCGTGATGTTCCTGGACTCCTCAGAAAGCTCTGAGCCGTGTTGGCAGGTCAGGGTGAGACGTGGTGCGGCTCTGTGGTTGGCGGCAGCAGGAATATTTGTATAAGCTGATTCTGATCAGATTCCTGCTGGAGCTTCATGTCTGAGTGCACGTGGTCACGTGTTCTCACACAGCTGCAGGAGGAAGAGGAAGAAGAGGAGGCAGCTTCAATAGTTTGATACTCAGGAGTTCAAGATGGACAGCAGCAGAATTTTCCTGTAAAACTAAATAGCACCAATTGTTACTGAGGATCCGAGGACACACAGCTGCATGAGGTCGTCTCCTTTAACAGACGCTCTGCTGTTACAGTGACACAGAGGACCATTAACCAGTGGTGGACAAAGTACTCTATTACTTGAGTCAGAGTTCAGATACTCCTGGTCAAATATTACTTCAGTACATCTGAAAGTTACAGAATCAAATTATACTTTAGTAAAAGTACTGGATTACTTTTTAGGTTTTTGATCGTTAAAAACTGTACTTAAGTAAATGTACTTAGTTACTGTCCACGACTGTGACTGTGAGAGCAGACGTGCAGCGGGCGGCTGTGGGAAGTTGTTGTCTTCATGATCCAGTTTAAAATCTATCTCAAATAAAATCTGTGATAGTTCAAGTGTTTTTACTTTTTGCAACAGAAAGCTCAGACGTCTGTGATGATGTCATCACACGCACATATTTTAATTTCAATACTCAATATCAAATATTCTGGTTTATTAACCTCCAAAACCCTTTAGCTTTCAGGCTGTACAGATTTTAGGGATAAGAAGAAGTAAAAAAACACCTCTGTGTGTTCTGAAGAAATATTTTTACTGCAGATGAAACTATAAAAACAACTTTTCACTCTGCTCATAAAAATGATCTCAAAACTAAATTATGCACAAAGTTCAAATAACTTCTGGAGTGATGATAAATATTTTGTTTGTTTATTTTTTCAAATTTGATAATAAAATGTTTTTTTTAATTCATGACATCATTTCAACACATTTATCAGTTATTGTGGTTTATTAACAAACAGAATTTTTTAGTTCAGGTTGGACAGATTTTAGGGACATGAAGCGTTTAAAGATACTGACGTCACGTATGCAGCAGCAGACTGTGTCAGAGGTCAAAGGGTTAAAACCTGATGATGATGATGATGATGATGTATGTTCAAGGTCGTGAGGAAGAAAAAGAGCTTGAAATGCTCAGATTTGGGGAACCTGGTTTCTCATATCATCACTGACTGATGGCAGTCTGACCTCAGAGGTCAGAGGTCACCGTGTGCTGTAAACACGACAGATCAGAACCTTCAGCGTTCAGCTGCTGCCGCCGTCAGGAGGCTGATGTCGTATTCACAGACAGTTTGTGAGCAGAGGCTGCGAGCAAGAGTCTCTTTGTCTTCAGTCTTTTGTTTAGTCAGCCGTTGTTCCAGCTTCACTTGGTGGACTCGCTGCTCGGAGGCTTTGGGATCTATTTTTGGGGTTGTGAGGAATGTTGTCTCCCCCTTTTCTCACCCGGAGGAGGGACCTCTCCTCAGCCCCACCGGGGAATACATACGGCCCATAGCATGCTAACCCCTCGTTGTAAAGGCCTGGAGAAGCTCTCAGCGGCGTTCAGTCATAAATAGGATCCAGCTGATTGGCCCAGAGCCAGCACCAGTTTTTTTTTTTTTTCTGAACGACGGAGAGGAGGGAAAGAAGGAATGGGGAGAAATGGATAGGGCCAGTCTTATTTAAGCTCACGGGTCGACTACATCCCCAAATCCTTTCTAGAGACTGGAGCTCCAGCACACCTCATCCTGGGATTAGGGGCCCCGTAAGCCTCATCAGCGCTGGCCAGGAGGTCAGGTTTCAGCCACCATATCCTCCTACAGCTCACCAGGGAATCTGTCTTTTACCTCAGCTCTCTGTTTTCTGTCTCTGTCTGCAGCCGCTGTCTGTTTCTCTCCAGGTCCTGCTGCCAATATTAGCTGTGTGTTTCTGCAGCAGCCGCAGTAAACAGCACGCTAATAAAGAAACACTCTGACAGGCCAGGAGAGGCCCAAACCATACCAACAGTTAGTCTCTGTGTCACCACGTTCATGAACCTCAGCAAGAAAACACCAAGATTAGATTAATACTGAAACAAAAGAATGTGACGGACATCAGAAACCTTCTTTGTATTAATGCAGAATAAATGTTGCACAGCAGCAGCGTTTAGAAGTCTATGTAATATATGTCTCTGTGTGTGGAGTTGTTGATCAGCTGAAACAATCTGCTGTCAGTCAGTAAACTGTGTGAAAGTTCACACACACAGACACACACACAGCAAACCAATGTCAGAGAAACAAGCAGCAACAAATCCTCACTGCTGCAACTCTGAGTGAGAGGAAATAAGTCTCCACAGCAGCAGACGGCGGTCGTCTATATTCATCATTGAAAAAGGGAAACAGGAAGAGCGTCTTGATGCTAGTTAGCCAGTTAGCACATGAACAACACAATCAGAGCATATTTACCGTGCGCCAGTGAACAATAACACAAACCATCAGGAAACATTTCTGCTAAAGAGAAAAATAATCTGACCTCATGGAACAAGTTGGTTTGGTCTCACTCCCTCTGGACTGTAGCTCCTCCTTTACTCACTGACGCTCCTCTGCTCCTCACCTGAGCTCAGCTGAGGCCTACAAATAGACAAACGGACCAACAGTGCGGGACACGTTGTAGCGTCGAGGGCGATAAACACTCAGTGATGTCCGACTGTTGGCTTCATGTGCCAGGACGTCTCAGTGTGTCAGGACGTCTCAGTGACAGCTGGGAGCTCTGACACTCAGCAGCTGATGGAGGTCCCTCACACACTGTGGCTGCAGGTGAATACACACACACACACACACACACACACACAGATCTGTTCATGATGACGATGGTGATGGTGATGATGGCTGCGGAGACGTCTGAAGCTTTACAGAGTGACGAGGGACACTGATGATGTCATTTATCAAGTGTAGATATGAGAACATCAGACAGAACAGATGACCTCACGTCTCTTCCTGAAACCACAGCTGGACACACCTGGTCTCCAGGGACACGCCCACTTTAACATTCAGGGCCAATAACTGATGTTTAAAGTTACGATGTGATTGACAGCTGATGCTGATGGTTTTAGTTGTTATTTATTCTGCTGTTGTTTCCAGGGAAACAATGAAATCTACATTTTAAAATAGTAACTGATCAGTTTTAAAGTCACTCGGTCCTTCGTCACGCTGCCTTTATTGAGCACAGAAATAATCAGACACATTTATCCTTTAATATGAACTTCTTCAAAACTGCTTCAAAATACTTTTTTACCACATATTGAATCTCATAATCACCTTTGTAACATCTGTGTCACAGTGCTGAGAAAACATCGACACATTTCTCCTTCAAACAGCTGAATTTATCACCAAAAACTACATTTTACAACATGACCCTGAACACATCATGACAACGTTATAATGTACCTTTGACCAATATTCATTTTAACTGAACAGAGCTTGAACACATCATCATGTGACTCAGTGTAACCTCTGTCAGCTGTTCGCTCCTTAGTCTGAGACACACTGACATCAGTGATGTCATCAGTGATGTCATCATATCAGCTGAGAGGCTATAAATGTATTTATATCAAATAAACATGTTTGTAACGACGTGTGTTGTTGTTGTTGTTTGGAGCTGTTTGTTTGTGCATTACTGCTGTTGGTTGGTCTGATTAATGTCTGTGTGGCGTCCTCAGATCAGCTGCTGGTGCCTCTTCTTCTGGTGCATCTTGTATATGTACAGTGTGTGTGTGTGTGTGTGTGTGTGTGTGTGTGTGACCTCAGATCAGCCGCCTCCATCACCCAGCAGGGGGCGGAGCCTAAGAGTCATGTGATGTTGGCTTTCATAAATAAAACCAAATTTAAACTGAGTTGAACTGACCACCTGTCTGTCTATCTGTCTGTCTGTCTGTCTGTCTCATATAGGAGCTGTCTGTCTTCTCGGGACCCGTACTGTATCTGGCTGAGGTCGGGCAGCTGTGCCACCGTCTCACCTGGCATCAAGTAAGTCTCTCACTCACACACACACACACACACACACACACACACACACACACACACACACTGGTGTCACCTGGAAGAACACATGTCCTGACCTCAGCGGTTGGGGGCGTGGCCTGAGGTGCAGGGTGCTTCAGACTCATTACCAGCTGAGCAGTAATTTCCTGCCTGATGTGAGTAGTTCAGAAGAGACGTCTCCAATCATGAAGCTCCGAGGGACAGAAGTCTAATCAGAGCGTCCAGCAGGAGGCGACGGCTCTTAATTCTTCTCTGGACGCACTCTTGCTAATAAGTGAGTTCAGCCGCCGTGCTGTTTGGGCGCAGACGTTATTAGTTCTCTAACTCGCGGTCACAGCGGACACATTTGGAACTCAGTCAATAACATGAAGCAATCATTTTCATATCTCCAGCGCCGGGCCGAGGACTCCTGATAATCAATAACTAATCTCCAGTCAGACACGTGGGCAACAAGTCCTGTCTGACACACACACACACACACACACACACACACACACACCGCATCCATCTGAATTATTCACCTGTGGGCGGAGTCAAAGCCTCCTGTGAGGGCGGACGCAGCATGAAGTGATGGTCGGTGTTAAAATAAGACTCAACCTCAGTTCAGCTGAAACAACTAAAGTCTTTAAATGTTTAAAATCAGGTCGGTGTTACTTTTCATTGTGACATCACCAGGCCTGGAACTTCGCCATTTTAGGGGCGAGGCCACTTGGCCTGTCGTTTTGTCAGTAGGGCTGTACCCAGATATTCAGATATTCGAATATTCATTTCTATGGGTAGGTAAAATTTGGTATTTGATATTCTTTTTTCTTTTCTTTTCTTTTTTTTTTCACATTTTTTGTGGTGCTAAATGCAGTCTTTTTGTTGTTGGTAAATGTAGGTTATCAATAAAAATCAAAACTTTTAAATTGCATTGTTAAAAATGTGAAAATATAGTATCTCCTACCAACGGAGCTTGTGTGCACGTCACGCTTGAGCGCATCTGTCTGAGGCTGTGGATCAAGTTTTACCACTTTATCACTATTCCCTCTCACTTGTAGCTGTTTTTTCGTTATCTTTTGAATTTAATATGAATTATGGAACCGTTTTTGTCAACGTTTGTTTCCCCCGTTTTGTACAATAAATTATTTTTTAAAGTTTCAACAAGTTTCTTTTGGAGTGCGTGACACAAGTGTGTTTTGAAAACGGCCGCGGACTGTCACCTGCTCAACGCATCAGTACCTTCGGATGCCATGACAGTAATAGCCAATAATGTCAAAATATCATTTACAGACCGATTTAACAGACGATCACTGCTGCCCGACCCGCAGGTCCATTTGCGGGTCCCGCGGGTTACGGGTTGACCCGCGCATCACTGCTCAGCTCAGTCTATAAATGCAGTACACAACAGTAGACATTATATTCTATTCAGGCCGGCAGAACCAGCAACGCATCGGCTCTACAGTGCACGGCACTGCTGATTAACCATTTTATTGCAGCACAGAGTGTCTGCCAGCAACCAGTTACTTGCAGAGGCTTCCTACAGCTTGTTTCAACGGTTCTTATTTAATCAGAAGACAAATTAAACAGGATGAAGTCTAGCCAATGTGAAAATCAAAAGAAAGCATAGAATAATGTACTGAAGTAGACTGTTGTGCCATCACATTTTTTGTGGTTTGAGAGCAAATATCCGGTCGCTGCTGTGCAAAACTCCGCAATACAATTAGGTCCGAAAAACCCCCGACATCATTCCTCCTGACATCACAATACTGAGTGAAGAAAGTCATGTTATCTCAGCATGAAGACAAACATCAGTATCAGTCATTCATCCTGCTCTCTGTCCGTCCTCTACTGAGGACACTCACTGTCTGCAGGTCGCTGCCTCAGGTACATGTTCAGATAAAGTGTTAGCCTACACACAGACAGCTTTCATTTAGTTTGTCTTTTTTGCTGTTAGCACCGCGAGCGCGATGTGCTTGTGTCGACCACAATCATAAATCGTCATAGCGGTGAATGAGAGACTGCGTACAGAGCGGATTGAAATATGGCTTTCTACATGCTGATCACATGTATTGATAAAGTATTGGCTTTCTACATGCTGATCACATGTGTTAATAAAGTATTGGCTTGGCTGGCAGAGGATTTATTGCACTCACTCACAGTAACAAGTGTAGTTGTCGTTAACTAGAGTCATCTTGAAGTTATATTCCCTTCACCTGCACCGCGGCCCCACTGCTGCAAAGCGATGATACATGAAACCGAAACTTTAAAAAGTAATGTTGATAATAGCGGAGCTTACTGTTATTACGGTCTTGATTAAACTTGCTTTGGGTTATTTAATACCGGGTCTCGGTACCGAACCCTGCCCGGGCATTTGATGAAGTCTCCTGGTTGGCCAGTGATAGACTGGTGTTGCCCAATAAGAATCCAGAATGTCATCGCAGTTTTTTTTCCTCAATAGACGCAGGTGTCAAAGCCGTGTTGACAGGAAAGAGCCAGAGGAGAAAACCGCAACATCACCTGGAGCAGTGCAGGCAGGGCATCAAGGCCACTGTGGCCTTAGGGCAGATATTTTTTTTCAAGGGCACAGGGCCAAATGAGGAGGGCACGAGGGCCGTAGCTCGTGGGTGTTTATGCAGGTTAATGTGCTCTGCGCTCACACAGTCTTTTAGTTCCTGAAAAAGTTGTGAGATTTGACAGTTTTCCAGGCCTGGAACTGGAGTTCAGTGATTGTTTTGGAAAAGTTTTGAATCTACGTTGTTTCAGCTGTTGTTTAAAATATGTTCATAAAAATGAAATGTCTCCATGTCCCGAGGAGATAAAATCTGCTTTGATTTGACCAAAATTCTGAGCTGATAAAACTTCTCAGTGCGTCCAAGAAGACACCAGGATTTTTTATGTTATTATGCAGGTTAGCAGACAGGAGTGCATCAGTCAGGCTGCTGACGGAGCTGAAAGAACGAACATGATCACTGCAGTTTGGTTTCATTTAGTTGGAGGAAGTTTGTTGCTGTGCATCTTTTAATGTTGTTGAGACAGTGACAGAGGTTTTCCTGTGAGCAGGTTGTGTCAGGTGTTACTGATCAGTAAAAACAGAGATACAGACCGAGGTGTTTCTCTAAGATGGAGCCGAGGGGAAGCATGTGTGATGAGAACAGGAGAGGGCCGAGAACTGGACCCTGGGGGACTCCAGAGTTAACGGGCGCAGGGGAACAGTTTATAGGGTCAGGTTGGAGGTGAACCATTCAAAGAACAGGTATATTAAATATTTCAGAGTTGATTAGAGATGCTAATATTCACACTTTGTTCCCTTCACACAGCTGACTGGACTTCATATTTACCACAGGAGCATCTCCTCATCTCTTTATCTCCTCGTCTGACTGTCAGCAGAAATATTCTCAGTGAAACTGTTTTTAAGGCTCCGCTGACTGTCTGTCTCTGACAAATCAGACACTCAACCTGTGTGAGCTGAGCGCAGATGAAGGACAGCAGGTGTATTCACAGCAGTTAGAGTAGATTTCAGAGGTGACCTCGAGTCACGGCGTCCATTCAGACTCCTCAAACCACTCTAATTCGCCTTTTCTCTGCTCATTCGTGCTTCAGGGTAAAGTTCCTTTCAGCCAGTGGAGCTTCAGATTTGTGAGGAGGTTTTTAGTGACGGAGAACAAACTGAACAGATGGATGAACAGCAGAGAGGTCGATCGTGTCGCTGAAGCTCTGGAAAGGTTTTTATTCACAGTGACCCTGCTCTCCATGAAGGAGTAACTAAACTCCTAGGCCTCCAGCTGACATTAATGCTTTAATACTGTTCAGCAGGATGTGTCTCACTATGACGTCCTGTCTCGACACCACCTTTACACATTTACACAGAACCACATGACGGCGGCATCATTTAGCCAACACACACACACACACACGTGGTTACGTTTAGCCGACACACACACACACGTGGTTACATTTAGCCAACACACACACGTGGTTACGTTTAGCCAACACACACACGTGGTTACGTTTAGCCAACACACACACACGTGGTTACGTTTAGCCGACACACACATGTGGTCACGTTTAGCCAACACACACACGTGGTTACGTTTAGCCAACACACACACACGTGGTTACGTTTAGCCGACACACACATGTGGTCACGTTTAGCCGGCACACACACGTGGTTACGTTTAGCCAACACACACATGTGGTTATGTTTAGCCAACACACACACACACACACACACGTGGTTACATTTGGCCAACACACACACACACACACACACACACGTGGTTACGTTTAGCCAACACACACACATGGTTACGTTTAGCCAACACACACACACGTGGTTACATTTAGCCAACACACACACGTGGTTACATTTGGCCAACACACACACACACACACACACACACGTGGTTACATTTGGCCAACACACACACACACACACACACACACACGTGGTTATGTTTAGCCAACACACACACATGGTTACGTTTAGCCAACACACACACACACGTGGTTACGTTTAGCCAACACACATACGTGGTTACATTAGCCAACACACACACGTGGTTACGTTTAGCCAACACACACACGTGGTTACGTTTAGCCAACACACACACGTGGTTACGTTTAGCCAACACACACACGTGGTTACGTTTAGCCAACACACACACGTGGTTACGTTTAGCCAACACACACACGTGGTTACGTTTAGCCAACACACACACGTGGTTACGTTTAGCCAACACACACACGTGGTTACGTTTAGCCAACACACACACGTGGTTACGTTTAGCCAACACACACACGTGGTTACGTTTAGCCAACACACACACGTGGTTACGTTTAGCCAACACACACACGTGGTTACGTTTAGCCAACACACACACGTGGTTACGTTTAGCCAACACACACACGTGGTTACGTTTAGCCAACACACACACGTGGTTACGTTTAGCCAACACACACACGTGGTTACGATTAGCCAACACACACACGTGGTTACGATTAGC